GGTAGAAGCGGCGCGTGCGCAGCGCCTGCCGCACGGAGAGACCGGCCTTGTGCGGCTGTCCGCCGTGTGCGGGCGCCGCGCGGAGCAGCAGCAGCGCTGGCGTCAGCAGGCCGGCCTGCACCAGCGCCTGCAGCAGGAACGCCGCCGGCACGCGGCGCAGCAGCTCCGGCTGCCAGAAGTAGCCGCCGGCGGCCGGCTCGGCGCCCGTCCGGTTGATGTAGCCCGTCTGCACCCAGTTGAACAGCACCGGACCGAGCGTGAAGCCGCCCATGTTGACCCCCAGCGCCAGTCCGCAGCGGCGCGGAAACCAGGCCACGCAGGTCAGGCTGACGCTGGCCAGGGCGATGCCGATGCCGGCGCCCTGCAGCAGGCTGTAGGCGGCGATGAGGCCGATCAGCGGGCCGCGCACGGCCAGTGTGGAGAGCGCCGTACCGAGCAGCACCAGGCCGCCGCCCAGCGCCGTGGCCGGTCGCGGCCCGAGCCGGGCGTGCAGCAGGCCACCCAGCGCGTACAGCGGCCCCATGGTTACCCGCAGCACAGAGTCGAGCCACATGGTGTCGGCGTAGTCGACGGGCAGCGCCGCGCCCGCGCGCAGGTACGACGTCACGTAGGTGGTGAGGTTGCCGATACTGAAGCAGCTGCCCAGCGCCAGACTCACGCAGAAGCAGGAGGCGAGCACGCCGGACTGTCGGAGGCCGCCGGCCGGTCGGAGCCCGGCGGCGGCCCCGGCGGCGGCCCCGGCGCTGCCAGCAGCTGCCATGGCCGGTGCGGCTGTGGCGGCCGGCGCGGGCCAACTGCCCGCCGCTCCGGCCCGACCGCCCCGCGCGCCGCTGCCGCCCTACCACTTGGTTAACTGACAATTGCTGTTTACATTGGAAGCGGAAACATAAGATTCGGGGCGCACGTAATGGAGGCGGCACTGCTCTGCCTCTCTGTCTCTCTGTCTGTCTGTCACTGAGAGCACTGCAAAGTTACAATATCTTTGGACCGTGCAGAGGCTTACGGATGACGTCATATGTCAGAAGTGTATATATTGAGTAGAAAAAACATACAGCACATGGGTGGACGCGTTTCGTCAGAGACTTTTTCAACGCCCGAATATCGATAAAACAATACGAACACACAAGAACAAAGCTAGCAAGCACAGTTTCATATCTGTTGATATATCGCGTGCACATATTATGAGAATGTGCCTAAATGCAAATACACCTCCATTGAAAAAGAAAGAGAGAACACATATATAAGACAATGCGCCTGGAGTCTCTGCGCCTGCGCAGAGCCGAACGGTTGACTCACCGGAGGCTCCCGTTTCGATCGTCCGGAAATCATTTCTTTCGTCATTGTATCGTATTACCTCTTGGTGCTTTACATCGAGTAATCTTCGCTGATCATTTAGAGCATGTTTTCATGCAAGGCAAGTGAAGTGTTTTCAAGATAAGTGCACTTCTATTCTAAGGTACGTTTTTCAGGAAAACATATTTTGCGTCTATTTTGTCTCCGTGCCGGACATAAACTGTAAAATCTGCCATCACTTTTTTCTCTCTCATAAAACGTGACGTTTTGAGCCAAACTCTCTCAGTTGAAGCATTTTTTAGTGCTGCTGCTAAACTACATTTATGAAGAATACATTAAGGGAATTCTTCTCGGGACGTACTACCATAAGAAAAAAGGAATAATGACTAAAATAACAATGATCAAAGGAACACATTCACCCTTTATATTAAACCAGAATCTGTTGTGTTTCACAATGCAGTCAAAATAGTTGGTGTGCCCACAAGACTTTTTTCTTAACCGACATGGACGGCACGCTCGATGATACAACTGAGCAGTCTCAAGACGTAACATGCCAACTCTGCAGTATTGCTTACAAGAGAAAGCGGCACATCCTATGCAGTTCCTGTGGCCAGGCCTGGCACCTGACGTGTGCGCGCCTGAAACGGAGGGAGGCCGACGCACTGTCGTGTTGGTGGTGCCCGAGGTGTACCGGGATCAGTGGGACGACACCTGCTAGCGAGGCGAAGTGTCATACCACCTCAGTCACCCCAACAGCTGACCAGTCACCAGATAGCAACGAACTGGCTCTCCATCTAGCCCAACTCAGACAGACTCGCCGAGTTATTAGACGAATCCTAAAGGTGCCAGGATAACCGCAGCCGAAGCATGCACCTCTTTTCTTGAAGCCGTGGTTAAACAGAACACAAACACGGCTTGGGAGCGACTGCTTCTGTTTCCATATCTTGCGCTTCATTCGCCTGAGCATCAAGAAGACCTCCCCAGCGGCCCGCGGCCCATCACTCACCTCCAGAATAAGACGACAGCTGGGCAGTTACATAGATTCAGCTTCCACTGAACATGACGCCCACCGAACAAATCGCGCAAGCTCTCTAAAGCCATCGCACAGCAGGAACCGCTCCAAAACTGAGAAAAGCGAGCGTTTACAGCGAAGCGTGGCCGCGAACTTAGAAGACGGAGACGTGCGAGGGGCTATTCGACTACTAGCATCCAAGGACGAAATCGCCCAGAACTCGCAGGACATCATCGACAGCTTGCGGCTCAAACATCCGTCCGCTCCAGACGATCTGGCATGGCCACCTGGCCCCGATGATGCAACACAGCCCTACCAGGTCACCAAGGCCGAGGTTGAAGCATCCATCGCCTCATTTGACAACGGGTGCAGCGCAGGTCTAGACGGCCTGCGTCCTGCTCACCTCAAAGATATGACAAGTCGGGCCGCCGGAGAGGCCGGCACCCGACTCATTGCTGCTCTCACGGCCTTTATGAACCTGGTCCTCACAGGCGGCGTTGCAACATTCGCACGCTCTGCCTTCTTTGGAGGAGCGCTAACAGCTCTGCGCAAACCAGATGTCGGTGTAAGACCGATCGCTGTCGGAAACACTTACCGACGATTGGCTACCAAACTGGCTCTGAAACCACTCGGTGCCGAGTTGGGCGCTTACCTGCGACCAGCACAGCTCGGCTACGGAACCACAGGTGGATGTGAGGCTGCGGTGCATTCAACGCGCCTTTTCAATGACAGCCTTAAAGAGGATTGTGCCATCATCAAGCTAGACATGCGTAACGCCTTTAACAGCGTTCGAAGGGACCTTTTTCTTCGTCAAGCTCGAGAGCACGCACCAATGACCAACTATGCACCACCTTCTATGGCAGGCATACAGAGAACCTTCGCCTCTGTTCTACGGGACAGCCATCATCACCTCCGCCACTGGACTCCAACAAGGTGACCCGTGCGGGCCAGCCGTGTTTTCACTCGCCATCGATGAAGTTGTCAAGGCAGTGAAAGCACCGTTCAACTGCTGGTACCTGGACGATGGAACCATTGGCGGTAGCGTCAGTGCCATATGCTCGGACTTGAATGAGCTGATTCCAGCTATGGCCAATGTTGGTCTCCCAATCAATCCCAGCAAATGTGAGATCATTTTACCAGCCGACATCACAGACGAGCGGAGGAAGGTTTCTGTCTCAAGGCTGCGTCAGCTTATCCCAGGAGCAGCTGTGACCGGCGAACAAGGGCAGACCATTCTCGGGCGCCTATCAGCGAAGCTGCCACCGAGGCGGTCATGACAGAAAAGCAGGGAGAACTCAGTCACATGATTGAGTGTTTACGTCACCTGGACGCGCACACATCCATCTTTCTCCTTCGCAACTGCCTATGGCTTCCCAAACTGCAGTATCTTCTGCGAGCCGCCCCTCTCTATCGGTAAGCCTTGCTCCTTGAGAATCTGGACGCAGTCCTGCAATCAGCGCTGATCAGTATCAGCAACGTCAGGCTGACAGGAACCAGCTGGCAGCAGGCCGTTCTCCCAACCAGGTACGGCGGTCTCGGGCTCCGGCGGCTTGTAGACGTCGCTCTACCGAGCTACGTTGCTTCGCTCCACTTGTGCCTTCAGGTCATATCTTCCTGTCTGCCTTCTGCAATGACCTCAAGCGCCACAGCTGAGCGCGAAAAAGCTGTTGCCGACTGGGAAGACGCAGCCGAGGGCGAACGTGCTCCCGAAGGAGAAGAAGCGCGAAAACAAAAGACCTGGGATACAGTGCTTGCCAAGAAACAACAAGAGTCGCTGCTTTCACAATCCAACCAGTTTGTTCGCGCCAGGCTCCTGAGTGCCTGTGCTCCAGACAGCGGGGCATGGCTGCATGCTGTACCTGCAGCAACCATCGGCACGCTTTTGGATCCGGAAACCCTGCGAGTCGCTATCGCCCTTCATCTGGGAGCCGAGGTGTGCCGCCCACATCGCTGTAGGTGCGGTTCAATGGCTGACAGCAACGGCTATCACGCACTCACCTGTAAGTTCAGCGCTGGGAGACATCCAAGACATACCGCGCTGAACGACATTATCAGGCGGGCATTGTTGTCGGCAAGAATCCCCTCTCTCTTGGAGCCAACAGGTGTAGACCGCGGAGACAGCAAACGCCCAGACGGCATAACAGTCTTTCCATTCACCAGGGGCATGTGTCTAGCTTGGGACGCTACTTGCGTGAACACGTTTGCTGAGAGCCACGTTCTATCAGCAGCTGTTTCCCCCGGATCAGCGGCCCGTGAAGCAGAGGACAGAAAGTGCAAGAAATACAGTGGCCTTGCACAGCGCTTCCACTTCGAACCAATTGCCTTTGAAACAACAGGAGTGTGTGGCTGTGGACCTTCCACAAAAATATTCATTCGAGATCTCGGGGCAAGGATGGCCTCCATATCAGGGGATCATCAAGAGACAGCTTGGCTGTGGCAGCGGCTGGCCCTTGCCATCGTTAGGGGCAATGCTGCTAGCTTCTTGCAGACAACGGACTTTTCCGATTCCTCGCCGAAGACACCAATAGATATGGCAGGCAAAGAAGCGGAGAAGAACAAGTCTAGTGCAGCTATCGGAGTCGTAACGGCGCAGAATGGCGGTCCGCTCGTGCTAGGGCCTGCGGTTCGATCTCTGTCACGGTGGCGCTCTGTACATCGGCCGGCGCGCGAGAGCGATACATCTTCGTCTCGGCAGATGAGCATCGCGTTTCGTCGAGGTGAAGAGGAGTCTAGCGAAGCCGGTAGCTCTTCTTTCAAGATCACCCAGCATGTGTGTCCGCCACTGCTGCCTGGCAAGTTCGATGAGGGCAGTCAGGTGCTGCCGCAGGGCAGGAAGCCGCAGACTGACACCGCTGACGAGTGTGGGCAGGCGCTACAGCGGTCTGACAGAAAGCCGCCAACCGACGGCCCTGGCGAGAGCAGCCAGACGCCACAGTCACCCTGCAGGAGGACGCAGACGGAAAGCACCGGCTCGCAGCTGATCACGGCTACCCGGTGGCTTGAGTCGGACACGAGCGCCAGCGACCCGCTCTGCATTGGTCTGCCGAACTACGGCAACTCGTGCTATCAAAACGCCACGCTTCAACCTCTGCTGGGCCTGACTCCGTTCCTGAGCGACATGCTGTCGCTGATTTCCGACCTGAGCCCAGGGGAGAACAGCCTCTGCCGCACACTGCATGGTGTCGCGGAGTTGATGGTGCTCCGTCAGAAGGGGCTCAGCAGATCAGTCTCCAGCCATCTCAACGACCTTCGCGACGTGTTCGCCGACATCGATCCGGCGTTCCGAGGCATCGAGATGCAGGACGCCAACGAGTTCTTGCTGCGCCTGCTAGACACCATGAAGGAAGAAATCGACGCGCGGCGGCCGACCGATAACCTTGTGCGAGACAACTTTCAGTATCAGACCGTCGAGAGCTACATGTGCACCAAGTGCCATGAAACGGTGCTGAAACAGCAAGAGAACATATGCTGGTTTGTCAGCGTGCCGCACCGCCAGGGCACAGAGACGCCCACGCTGCAGGACGCGCTGCGGCTGTGCATGCGGCCTGACCGGCGCGAGCTGCTCTGTCAGCACTGCCGCCATGACGAGTGCCGCGTCACCACCAAAATCAGCCAGCTGCCTAGGACGCTTATAGTACAGCTTAACCGGTACGTCTTCCTTGGGGAGGAATCGAAGAAAATCTGCTCCAACGTCGGCATTCCCAAGCTCCTTTCGCTGAAAGAACATGTCGCGGACGACGTCACCCGGCCCCCAGAGTGGAAGTGCACAAAGCCTGCCCTGTGCATCCTATCCGACTTCGAGGAGTCTGAGGCGCCCAGCTCGGGTCCGTCGCCGCCGCCCGCCGCCCGTGGACTGTCACCAGTGCTGGCCACCGCCGGCTTGCCGGAGTCCGCCGCCGCCGACTCGCCGGTGTCGGCCGGAACCGCAGCGCCGGCGCGTCCCCCGTCACCGGCGACCGGTGCTGAGCCGCCGCAGCCGCCGCCAGCGCAGGCCGAGCTGGTGGTGCTGGACGCCGACTCCAAGTTCAAACCGGCGCGGACCTGCGAGAGCAAAGACCGCGAGCTCCAGGAAGCCATCATGAGGTCGCTGGAGGGAGCGCCGGCTGACGCCTCGGAGCAGGCACACCTATCGGAGCTCTGCGTGGAAGACGGCCAGTCTCCCCGCTCAGTGGACCTGGCCGGCGACTTTACCTACCTGCTGGTGGGCGTCGTCAGCCACTACGGCAGCGCCACGCACTCTGGGGCACTACGTGTCGGATGTGTACAGCGTCGGCAGGGACAGGTGGTTCCACTACGACGACCGGCGCGTCAGCTGTGTGGACGAGGCCGACGTTCTGGGCGAGGCCGGACACCAGAGGAACGGCTACATCTTCTTCTACCTGCACAAAGACCTTTGCGACCAAGTGGTCAGTGTGGAGGAAGCCGGCGGGGCGCTGTGACCGCCGCGTCAGGGAGCGGCACCGGCGGCGGAACGGCCCCGACCTCCTCCGTGTGTATGGCTGTATGTGTCCTTGTGTGCGTGTGCGTGCGTGTAAATCGCGTTTGTGGAAAAAATCTGCGATGCAATATTGTAATGGATCTTACACGTTAATATACCGGGGAAGCCTTCAAAAAAATATATATATATTATATATATATATATATATATATATATATATATATATATATATATATATATATATATATATATATATATATATATATATATATATATATATATATATATATATATATATAAATATATATATATATATATATATATATATATATATATATATATATATATATATATATATATATATATATATATATATATATATATATATATATATATATATATGTAAGACAATTCATGTTGACAGTATCTGTTTTCTATTTAACATTTATTTTATATTCTGAGTACAATAGTTATACGGCCGCAGATTTTGCCCATTTTGTAAACCCAACCCGTGTATTGATTGTTTCGTTCGTTGCAATGTATGCCGCTTCCGTCGCCTTTCTACTTCCTTGCTTTTGCACTTCGCTACCACTCTCGCCCCTCCCCAATTCGTTAAATGATTCGTTGAGTGAGCATGAAGCACGAATGCACTGTGTTCCATGTCGTTTCTTACATCTCGATCTCTCCTATGTTCCTTTAATCTTTTGTCCATGCCTCTACCTGTTTCACCTATATATGATTTTTTCACAATGCCCACAGGGTATGTACAGTCTGTCTTAAAAGTACCGCGCAAAGTGACGGTGGATCCATCGAGCCTGACTGAGCAAGGGCCTGCTAAATTTGGGTCACTGAAGCAACTGACATCCTTATCCATTCCCTAGGTCAATTGGTCGGTGACTTTTAAATTAAAACAGGCCCTTTCTCGGTCAGGCTTGATGGATCCACCGCCACTTTGCGCGGTACTTTTAAGACAGACTGTACCTGATATACAACGCTAAGATCTACATTCTTACTTATTTTCTTTTGCGTGATCTCTCCTACTTTTCTGCCAGAAGTCAATGCGACTTTGACGCCTGTCGTTTCAAGTTCTTTCGCGATGTTTTCGGCTGCTTTTGAGTTCGGTAATGAAATATATCTTATGTCGTTCTTTCGTTTCGCTTTAGCTTTTGCTCTGTTTCGAATGTTCAACGCTTTTTTCTTGAGACAAATGAGATATCCTTTGGGATATTTAAGCTTCATGAAACTGGAAAAATGTGCTCAATTTCTTCAGCAAGATACTCCTCACTACAACTACGAAAAGCCCTTAAGAAAAAGCCCAAGACCACCCCACTTTTAACTCATTCGCTATGACCGGAAAAGAAATGAACATAATCTTCCCGGTTTGTAGGCTTACGATATACTTTGAATTTTGCACGACTATCGCTTCGGACTACTTCCGTATCTAGGAAAGCAATGGAAGCTCCCTTTTCTGTTTCCACAGTAAACTGAATCTTCGGGTCGACTGCTTTGAGTTCGTTGACTTTGGCGTTCAAATCGATCGTTTTTGGTACTATGATGAAAGAAAGCGCGGTTTTAAGGCTCATGATTATATATTATATAAATGCAAACGATGTGCTATGCACGAAACAGTTGTCTCATTTTCTTGGCCCTATTTTGAATACAATTATTAGCATGAGGCTTAGGGTTTTCATTGCATTTATATATATAGTTTTTGGTACTACTACCAGCACGTCATCGACGTATGGTACCCACAGAACATTGTTCCCCATAATATTTTGGTAGGTACCTGTTTTGTTCCAGCCATTCCAAATACACACACTGTTGGCAGTGGGTTGGCACTGTTGGCACTGTTACACTGCACTGTTGGCAGTGTAAAGTGGTTCTGTCTCATTTACAATTGGACCATGAGTCCGTAAATACAGTTCTCTCTCTCTCTCTCTCTCTCTCTCTCTCTCTCTCTCTCTCTCTCTCTCTCTCTCTCTCTCTCTCTCTCTCTCTCTCTCTCTCTCTCTCTCTCTCTCTCTCTCTCTCTCTCTCTCTCTCTCTCTCTCTCTCTCTCTCTCTCTCTCTCTCTCTCTCTCTCTCTCTCTCTCTCTCTCTCTCTCTCTCTCTCTCAAATACAGGCACGCTGCTACTGGACTCAAGGGTAAACCCATTGCCAGCCCGCTGTGTTGGCTGTGATCATCCGACTCAAATACAAAACCTCCAAATTTCATACACATTGACACAAGCTTAAAGTAGTCAGACTTTGCGAGCGGCAACTGGTTCGCATCGATCCTATCAACTACATCTTTGATCACTTTTAGGGCGTCGTCTACGGGTACATTCGTGAGCAGTGATTTTCATCAAGACTAGCCATGTATAGTCGACTACAGAATGATGTTCCACTCCTCAGAAGCTATCAGTTGACCGGAGCGCGAAGTTGTGCCGTTCATCATGCAATTAAGCGTGTCGATTGTGAGCATTGGGACAAAGCTATAATTTGTGAACTCAGCCCGTGTGATGCGGCACAGCCTACCACTCCAGGCAAATAATTGCCAGTGAAAAGTGGAACATCATTCTGTAGTCGACTATACTTATCTGTGAAGTCGAAGTCTTTAAAGGGACAGTATCACCATTTTGATGAAATTTGACATTGCATAGGCCCCACCTTTCTGGTCCGGGAACTGAAGACCGATCCCGTCGAAGCTCCACACCGTTATCCCGCTATCGCCGCTCAAAGTACGAAAGGTGTACTACACTTTGAATCGTGCTTCACTATCTTCACTGTTTAAATGTTTGCGCCGTTTTGAATTGACCGCCAGTAATAAAACTTTTACCCTGGTCATTTCATCAAATTTTATAAAGCCAAAACGTTTTTCGCACTTATTCATCACCGTTAAATTCATTAAATAGTCGTAGGCAATTTCCGCTGTTTCCTTTGGATTCTAGCGGCTCAACAAAGGAATTCCTTCAGCTTGAAGGAATTCCTTCAGCTTGTCACGTGATATCTTCTGGGCAATACCTAATGCTGCCTTTCCCTAACGACAACTCAATCAGAAGAGCGGCCGCGTAAGCGTAGCGTCAATAATGTATTATCTGCGCCAGTTCTGTAGTAATTTCGCAGGCTTCCAAAGTGGCGGCCATGCTTGTAGTGGTGGTTCGCTCATGAAAATGACTCGCTCATGAAAAAAATATTTTTCACCGAGTTCGGTCCTCAAACTGCGTATTTACAAATTGCAACCGAGCTCCGCCGTGGGGTAAGGTGGGCAGGGGTTTTCGCACTATACGGCTGCGGTTGAACTACCGTCTGTGGTAGAAACTCACTGAACTCTATAATGTAGAAACTTCAGGACGATGGCGCGTTTCATACGAAATCTGGCGCAATGTTTGTTTGCTTCTGAACTTGTACTGTTATTGCTGTGAATTCTTGAAGCGGGAGTGTTTCAATAACAATTTGTGGATTATTTGAGTTTCTTTATATAAACATAGAATAGTATTATGAAACATTGTGTGGAAACTGCAAATACTGATATGATCAATTACTTAGTTTGGGAATTGATACACATTTTGTAGAGATTTGTCTGGCAAATGGTGTAACAAACCTCAAGCCTATCATGATCAGAAGCTGTTGTAACAAATCAAAATTGCTTTGATGTTACATAGTACCTTGTTGGAAAGACTGGAGCATGGTTCAAGATGATGTGTAAAAATTCAAGATTTGTGCGAAAGCTTGTGACTGAAGAACGAAAGCAGTTCGATATGATGGCTCAATCAAACGTGGAAATGGACGACAAAAGTAGAGTTTCAACGTTCCAGCATGTGAGAATAACTTCAGAAATTCATAGTTCTTGTAGTATTGCATTCTTTTTATGTAAAGTTATAGGTTTTGTTAGGGTATTTCAAATTCATTGTGTCAGTTGAGATATAGATGGATTGCGGAAAATTTTAGAATCATTGCATGGTAGCTAGGTACTTGTTCGGTAAAAAGATATGTGATGAATGCCATGAGAAGGTTTTTTATGATTCAATGTATGGTCGTTGTTGTACCTACAAAAATGCAAGCTTAATAGCAACTAGTTTCTGAATCAAATCGAAAGTATATTTTGCCATGAATGTAAATATGCACCTGCAAAGTATGTCAATAAATTTGTGTGATGTTGACCAGAGAGTTTTATCATCTAGGCATTTATGTCGCTTCTTACATTAGGTGTTAAGCATAGTAATTACGGATGAACTTTGTGCCAATATCTTCAATGCACAATGTATGTAGCATGTCTACAACCCTCACTGATCCTGCTATAGCTATAGGCATTTGGCACCAGCTTGGCCAAGGGCATGAACTTCACAGTTGCACAACCTTTTGTCATGTACCACCAGTCACTTTTTTACTTAAGGTGCACATAACACTGCAGTGCACACAACAATGTGCAGAGGGCCTACACAAAAACAACATGATTAGTGTGCACTATGCACAGCATTGTACCCTGATTATTTGAATATTTTGATCACTCAACAGTCAGCAGTCAGGAGATAATTATTGAATTTCACATTTATTATACATCACTTGTCAAACAAGAGCATGATGACACACCTTTTGACAAGCAATCGTGGTAGTATTCCAATAAGTTGGACAGTCACCTCCCTGGGCGTCATTTTTCCAGGAAGGTACCTACCTCTGCAGGTGTTGTGGTAGGCTAGGTTGAATTGGGTTAAGTAAGGCGAAGTAAGGTGGTTAGGACCAGGTCAGACCGTAAGGCCTGGTCAGGTTAATTTTAATCTTTCATTCTAATTTGACATAGATACCTATTACCTACTGTGGACGTCAAACCGCGTGGGACGCGACTTTTTCGCAATAACTTTTGAATGCGTTGCCTCTCAAGAACGAAACTTCGGCAATGGACGTTTCAGACCCCGGCCTAATTTTTATTACTAAGGTTTTTCAATGTCCGATCAATATTTAGGGCACTTCCCGTTCACTCGTAATGTTAATTTTTGCTCCTGAAACTCTCGGTGAGCAGA